TCAAGAAAAAGTTTGAGTCACCAATAATTGTTGACCCTGATGCCTCCCTCTCATTGTTACACTTAATGGAGCAAACAACTTGAACTCATACAGACTAACTATATCAGAAACAAAAGATTTTGTAGGAAATGCACCCCTCCTTCTTCTTATCATAGTTTTCATCTTTTCCTGATTTGGGTGCAGTCCAAATTCTTTTATTCTTTCTTTTAAGGTTTTAAATTGAAGCTGAACAAACCAAAGCCACATCTGAGTCCTAAAGTTGAGTGGTGTAAGTATGCGAGTGTATTTCTGTGGCAGATTACTAATGTGCTCCCTCACGTGCTGTGGGGAAAACATGGGTGTTTCTCTTCCTATTTGCCACATGACATTAAATACTGAAAAAACGATGGTAAAGTCAGAGGGAACAGTTTGTTTTGCAAGGAGGAGAGGAGACCACAAACCTGAACCTAAGCTATGAAGAAGCAGACTTTGTTCAGCTTCAGGCCTAGTTAAGGACAGTTTAGCCTTTGAGAGGCGAAAGCATGGCTTGTCAGCTGAGGGTGGGAAATTGTTGTACAGAATAAACAAATTCCAGGTTTACAATAAAGACAAAATCAACTAATTGCCTTTACTTCACACATTCATCATGTAGCCCAGTTATTCCCTAGTTTAATCAGGGAAGGGCCCTGAGTTCGTTAACTCAATAAATCTAATTTACAATGAAGAATACATAAGGTAGCCTAATGTTGTCGTTATCTTGAGTCCCTTTAAGCACCTTTAAATACTGTAACTTCACTAGTATTAGATTATGTCTACTCTACTATAACATATACACACTGAACAACTTAGCTGAGTGACATAATAGAAATGTATATTTAAATGTGTTGAGCACAATGTCACTTACCTTAAACACATTAGTTTAAATACCTCTATTAAAGGAAATCACCAAATATCACACTGGAATCAGTTTAAGAAATAGAGATCTCAATTATTTACTGTATACTTGTGAACAAACAAGATGAAATATACAGTCAGAATGTACCTTCAATAATGTCAGATTAATAATCCCTTTAATTGGAAATTATTATAATATCAAAATATTTCAGGTCACCTTTGAATCAATTTCACACTTAACTCAGTGGGCCCACACTCACTCAGCACACACACAAGCCGGCAAATAAAATGAAATAAAACCCCTCACGTTGCAGGCCTGATGTGATGCTTGAGAGCGTTGAAAGTCAAAACTATTTGTCCTCTAGTCTTCACTCAAATGAGCAATAAAACCAGCGCGATACCTGAACATCTTCAACTCCAAACTGCAGCTGTACCGATCCCTCAGTCTCAGATGGCGATTAACGGCGGCGGGAAGGTGTCCAGCGACGGCGTGCTCTCTCGTATTGTCCAAAACTCCTCACTGTGTCACCAACTTGCAGCAAAACTGATAAAGATCCTCAGGGTTTTCATGCCGAAAAACCCAGAACTGAAGCCAATAGTGCAAGCTGAGTTAGCTATAACGTGGCTAAGAGTCCATTCACTTTATTAATGAATGCTAACACTCAGTTGCTAACAAGCTAATATACACACGTGGATAACTCTGTGACAAACTTTGAGTAGAAATGTATTCAGTTCCTTGCAGACAGCGTGTAGAAAAATAATCCATATGAAGACTGTCGAGTTGATAATCTTGAGACACTAACTACATACTTATTTGCTATAGAGAGGCGAAGTCCCTCCCTTTCCGGGGGAGCTCCATGGGACCTTATTTCGGAAAAATTATGTATTGAAGTCAATGGGGAGAGAAAGATTATCTTTTGATTCCGTTTGAATTGTGCCACGAATTACACATGTGATGTTTGTCAATTTAAAAGATAATTTTGCAAGTCAAAAAAATTAACACTTTTTTTTGTGTGAAACCGCTCAATGAACTACATCTCCCGTCTCGCACCACACACCAAGACGGCCGTCACGTTAGCACATTTCACTTCTTTCTTTCAGAATGAGGCGAAAAGTATTAAAAGAGGTGAACATCACTACAAGTCTGGGCATGTTGAGAGCTGTACATACACACAAGGGGAGTTAGTCGGTTCCGTGAGAGCCAGCATGCGGGACCGGGATTCTGGGATTTGTAGTCTTTCTAGTTGCGTATTTTTCATAGTCTTATATTTCAACAGTTTTACGACAAACTGTGACTTTTTTTACATGGAAATTATTTTTTAAGATTGACACACATGTGTAATTCGTGGCACAATTCAAACGGGATCGAAAGATACGTTTTCTCTCCCCATTGACTTCAATACATAATTTTTCCGAAATAAGGTCCCATGGGTCGGAAGTAGATGGGCGGGACTTCGCCTCTCTATAAACTGTCAACTTTAATTCACTCTCTGTGCCGCAACTTTGTCAGTCAAGCCACCACTCTAACCAAGCCCCCAGGAAGTGCGCCGGACTCTGAGGAAAATATTCGTTGTGGCCAAACGGCGGTACCACACTTCTGTATCAGTCGCTGGGCCCGGAAAGACTTTTTCCCCATTGACTAACATTGGGAAAGAGACAAACTACCCAGTATGAACATTTGTATAGCCCTTATTCGGTCCTCAAGTTGTAAAATGTGCTAATAACGTTATTCTAAGAGTTATTTTCCTCGGCATTATGAACGCGCATCCAACCCACGGGACCGCGCCGCCCGGCACGTTCATGTGACGTGTTCAGTACTAGATGAGTTTTACCTTTACCCATGGATGCACAATAAGAACGGATTATATGATTATATGAATACTTTCGTGACGTTTCGCTCTCTCAAAAGTTGGGCCATTTTGTCTTCATTTGCCAATGAGCAACTCTCATAGGAATGAACGAGGCCCCGCCTCCCACGCTGTATCCATGACTCTAACGCACACTCTCTCTCTCTCTCTCTCTCTCCGCATAGAGAGGCGAAGTCCCTCCCTTTCCGGTGGAACTCCATGGGACCTTATTTAGGAAGAATTATGTATTGAAGTCAATGGCGAGAGAAAACGTATCTTTCGATCCCGTTTGAATTGTGCCACGAATTACACATATGATGTTTGTCAATTTAAAAGATAATTTTGCAATTAAAAAAATGTTTTGCCGTAAAACTGTGAAGTAAGACTTTTTTTGTGTGAAACCGCTCAATGAACTACTTCTCTGGTCTCGCACAACAACACACGTCACCAGAATGGCCGTCACTACTGTCTTGCCAAAAAAGGGATTGACTACCCTCACTATCACCACAATGAAACACGTCCAGAAGAATGTCATGCAAAGCTGCCTGCCTGCCTGCCTGCCTTCCTTCGATTCTCCCTGCACTGCCTGATCTTTTTAATGTTCAATGTTAACCATTTGTGCAGATAGCACAAAAGTAGAAAAGATCGCCGATGCTAATGTAGCGTTAGCATTAGCATGTCTCCCCGGGGTCATCCGGGCTTAAACGGTGTATTCTAGAATGATCACACCGGTGTGACAGTACTCTTCAAAGGGTTCACGAAATATGACTACTACTCTTACTGTTTAACATTTTGGGTTACTTAATGTTACTTCATGTTAAGGCTAATAAAAATGACAAGGCTAAGGCTGTAATGCTAACTAACGTGCTTGCTACTAGCTAGTTAGCTAACTTGATCCAGCCACTCCTGGTCCTTTCATCAGACGGGAAGCGAAAGAACGAGCAAGACCCATTGCTGGTATGATTACAACCTGGTACAAAGCACACAGGCATCTTGTTAAAGTAATTACTTACTTACTCTGGGATTTGTAGCCTTTCTTTGCGTATTTTTCATAGTCTTATATTTCAACAGTTTTATGACAAACTGTGACTTTTTTGACATGGAAATGATTTTTTAAGATCGACAAACATCTATGTGTAATTCATAGCACAATTCAAACGGGATCGAAAAATACGTTTTCTCTCGCTGACTTCAATACATAATTTTTCCGAAATAAGGTCCCATGAGGTCCACCGGAAAGGGAGGGACTTCGCCTCTCTATTCACTTCCTGCGAACCTCAACCCGCCCCCCTGAACCAATCAGTATACATTTGAGATATTTTAACAACACTTATTGTCTTGTTTTAATTTCACTGTAAGGGTTATTTTCAACCTGGTTACAATCACAACGCCCAAACACTGGCTCTTGACAGACGTTGTGTCAGCTCCATTTCCCTTCACTCACACTGTGGTGACTTGTTATGAAGAAGCTACCGCAGAACTGCTACTTTTAAGCCTAAAAACACACAAACTGAGCCCAAGTGTGTGTTTGTTATTAACAGAACTACACCCTCAGGAAAAATAAGTACAGCCATCCTTTCATAGAGCTGAAAATGTATCATATCACATGCAGTTATCCATTCATTTACATAATTTAATATAGCATATAATTATTGCTCGACGTCATAAGTTAAGTTAAACTATTGTATCAAAAATCAAAGCTATGATGTAAATACTGTCAAGATAATTAAGAGTGTTTATAATGCTAAAAGTAGCAAACTAAACTACAGTTGCATAGTAATTCATAGATGCAATGACACATGTAGGTATGCAACTATTATAATTAATTATTATTTTGAATATGTATTCATGTTCAGATGATTTCCTAGATAATTGACATATCGTTTGGTCCATTAAATGTCAGAAAAGAACAACAAGTTTCCATCCTAGGTTATTTTTGCCAACCCATAACCCAAAGATATTCAGTTGAAACAGAGAAAGAGGGAGAAAAGCAGAACAAGTCCACGTTGGAAAGGTTGAAAAAGCACTTTGAAATGTTTGCATAACATATAACATATATTTGCAGCTCTACACAAATTCTATAATATTATTTCCTAAAGGTTAAGGGAAATAACACGCACCATAAAAAGCATTATGTTGTTACTCACTGTGATTGCTATGATGCAATGTTTAATTTCAAGTGCACATGGCTGCACACAACAACAGTTCATGTTAAATACATTTGCTCAAGTGGCCTTAAAGTACACGCTACAACTACGCCCAGAGTCATAGAGTAGTTACCTCCATCCTGGGGAATGTGCCAGAGATCTTCCTGCTTTTTTTCTCTGTATTTCGGCCTCTTGGAGCAAACTGCCTGCTAGTTGAGAGGAGACTGAGGAAAGCAGCGGGGACAGAGAGCAGCTCTGTTTTTATATCAGGAGCCAAACGAGCCTCAAGCACGAGGAGGAGGAGTGGACAACTTTTACGCGTATTTGGCCCCGTCAGCGCTGTCAAGTCACTCATTATAAAACATAACAGTACTTCTGCTAAAGACTTTCAAAATAAAAACGGAAATTAGTGCGCTTCATTTTTTTATTCTATGTCTTAGATACACAATTATGTTTTCTGTAGGTTGTTAAGTTTGGCAGATTCCAACTGGAATAAGAAATATGAAGTATTTTACTTTAGGTTCAGCTAAATAAGCAGTGCCAATAAGCAGCCAATGTAAATAATCAGTTGTCAATGTTTCACCCTTGAATGGATACACTAACATCTTGTATCTTTGACAGAGGCTGAAGGAGCTTTAATGCTGGTTGGACTTCAGTTAATATAATTGCATTTAAAATAGAGAAACAACATTTTTATTTTCACTAAACTTTTCCATCAATTTTACTAATCAATCTAAGCCGTAGACATGCTTCTTACTTCAAGTCAAGATGGAGAACACCTGCTGTAAACATTTTAAAGTATCAATCCACAGGGAGTGTAGTGCGGTACGACTTTTCTGCAAACAATCTTTTTGTTTCTTTACCCTGTTAAACTTTACATGCACGTTCCCTTATCATACCTATTTAATTATAGCTACGTTTTCCCTAAATGTTTATAGGCTACATAATAATACTTTTATTTTGAAGGCAGGATTTTTAACTGGCTGTCTCTGTTTTGACTCAGCTGTGTAAGGTTTGACATCTGCAACTACAACAATGTGCATAATTGGACTCAAGTATAAAATGAACACATAAAGATCAACATCTACATCTTCAAAATATACAAGCAAAAACATGAGCTCAAAAGTCATGGGCCCAGACATTCAGTCTTTAAAATAGAAAATAGAGAGGAAAGAGCTAAAAATATCTATGTGGGATTATGCATGGACTTTAGGCTGCAGGATTTTCATTATAGGTCCAGGCCTATATGTATGCGCATGTCTGAAATGTTGGAAGTCTCACTTCCAAAGACTTTATCCTAGCTGCTTTTTCTTCAGTTATTTTAAAGGTCCCTTTTTCAACTTTATATTATAGGTCTCAGATATATACAAAACATGTCTCAGAAGTGTTTGGCTCCAAATACCAAACGAATAGTGCATTGTAAGCCGCCATATTATTTGCTCGCATTAGCATTATTAGCATTAGCCCTGCGCACCAACAGAGAGAGACTAATTTATGGCAACACAAAAGAAAACATGGGAGCGGTGGACAGGGGCGGACTGGGACTACAAATCAGCCCGGGACTCTCGACCGGCCCACTTCGGTACCGCCGGCCCACCTCGGTAAATTACTAACGGGGGGGGGGGGGGGGCCCACATCGTCCGACCGGCCCACTTCAGTACCGGCCCATCGGGATTCGTCCCGAACGTCCCGATGGCCAGTCCGCCCCTGGCGGTGGAGATGAGGAGGTGTCGGCGCTTCTGGCGATTTACTCGGAAGGCTTCGATAGAAGCTGCTGGGAGTCCCAGCAGCTTCTACTGAAGCCAGTCCCCAACTCCGGGGACTTCCGGCCGGGGTCTTCGGGTGGCAGTATACGCCGTGAAGTTGTTTGCGGCCTGCCAGTAAACCCAAAGCAGAAGAAGAAGAAGTGACGTCAGCGGCTTCATTTGCGTAATCCTCCCTCAGGGACTTATTCCGGTGTGAACGCGATCTACTAGATAGTTCCCGGAACTAAAGATTCCTGGAGAACTAAGTTCCGGGAACTATTCCTGGGAAAAGTACTTGGTGTGAAAGCGCCTGATGGTGCTCTAAGGAGGGATTCAGGTGATAAGGTGGGCGGGTGTTACCTTGGTTGGTTATTGGCTAATGGTTGCACAAAGTGGCCAAAATCTGATCAGCTCATTTTCAAACAGGTTTTTATGTAAATGTCAGGACAAAAAGAGGGAGAATATTTTTTCCTGAAACTTTTATAATCTCCTTACACAGAGGGGACACATATTTATGTATAAAGACATAAAAAAGTGGATGTTGCATAATAGGTCACCTTTAATTTTGAGTTTTCATGTAAGGATGAAAGATTGTAGAGTAACTCTGCCGACCTACTCAAGGCCAGGAGGAAGTAGAGTCAGTCACTTCAGTGGTTCGTTGGGGGGAGTTGAAGAGAAGCCATCTAATGGATTGTTTTTTTTTAACTTGCCAACAACACACCACACTACTGCTCATATACAGTATATACCACTCAATATTCTTTACATAGTGTCAGTCATGGATAGCATCAACTACTAAATCTGTACACATAAAAAAGGACTTTGATCCTCACCAAAGCATAACATATTTATTTGACATGACTTTCATATTTTAGTTTATATCAGATAGCCGAAACCAAGTTCTGACCTGGTTTCACAGGTTTTGAAATGGACAGACTAACAGGTTCTGGTGTTTAGAGGGTTTCAATTCTTCTCTCAGGAGGCCAAATGTTCAACACTGTTTGAGAACAAACACTTCACACACACAAGTAAATATAAATAAGCCTCCGGAAGGCAGGGTACTCTGCCAGTAATTTGGAAACAGAAACAGGGCATTTGCTCTTCTTTGTGAAACATGGTTCATTAGACAATGGAAACGGTTTACTAAAAGCTTTAGAAGACGATGTGATTAGTGCTTTTATAAATCAAGCCTATAATCATTATTACTGCCATTAAAGGCGTTTGAAAGCACTGTGGGAGGGTCTGATGGTTTGTGAAAGCTAAAGACACCTTTGTGTTTGTTGTCTCATCGTCACCCAGCTATGACAACAAGTGGGCAGAGTGACACACATGGCGCTTTGTGGCAGGGGGGACATGATTGCTAATGGGTGAACTCGAATAAATGGGGTTTCAAGCATTACTTCACACGAAATAGATGACCACCTAATTCCCCTGGCTCTTCATTAAAGCAGCTTTCACAGAAAATGGTTGTCGCACAGTCAGCTCAAGGTGGGAATAGCTTTGAGTGTGGGGAAAGAGGAGAGAGGAAGAGATGGCAGCGGAGGCCATGAGAAACTAGCATGAAAGATATTGAAGTACAACAGACCATTCTCCAAAATAACCTCCATTTGAGTTCAGCTTCCTTTGGCCACATGCAGGCACAGGGAGCCAAACAGGAAGTATGTGTTGCTGATGATTTGTGGAAATGGGCTGAAAGGGGAAACTGATAAAGCTTTCTTACAGGGAGGAGTGAAAACAAGAAGCTTTAAAGGTCCCATGTCATGCTTTTCCGGTTATTACCTGTCCCCTTGTGTGTTATGTAGCCTTTTCTGCATGTAAACGGTCTGCAGAGTCAAAACCCCTCAAAGTACACCCTGTAGCGAGTACAACTCTAACACAGAAAAGACCTGTCTATGCTGCCCCAAAACGCCTCGTTGGAGATTTTTCTTTTTCCATTTGTTTCTTCCGGGAACCAAGTGACGTAACGACGACCCAATGGACCAATTGGTCCAAATGGACCAATCCGTGGAGCCGTTACGTTACGTCCGCAGAGCCGTTACACACACACACGTTACACACACATACTCAATCTTTTCTCAGGCAGCTGCAGCTCCGTGGATTTCTCAGCCTGAGACGGCGGGACGCGGCGAGGCTGTGAGTGAGTCTGTGTGTGAGCACACACACAGACTCACAGCCAGGCTGCGGGTGTGTGTGTGTGCTTGGGCTGGTTTCGGGCTGGGTTTCGCTGTGTCTCGCTGTCTCGCCGAGCCCACGCAGCAACCAGGAAACCACACCAGTAAGCCAGCTCACACTGTCCGCTCCTCGCAGCAGCGAGCCTCGCAACGTACCGCCAACACGGCACCCAGACCCCACGCAGCATTCTCATCTGTTTGTCATTACTGGTGTCATTTTCTGGTTGCTAACGCTATTGTAACACATAATCACTGATGTTCCGCTGTAACGGTGGTGGACTCATCAGAACAGAGTGGGCGAGCTGACCAATCAGAGCACACTGGGCTCATTCTACTAGAATGTAAATCTATTCTAGTAGACCTCAAAAATGGAATTATGATCAGTGAAATGGCCATATCATGGGACCTTTAAACTAAAAATACAGTGTTTATTTGGTTTAAAGGCTTTGCTTGACCTATCTTAATTACATGAAATGTTTGATATTGCTGTAATTTCTTTTTCTTTAAATTATGAATACATACAGTTTGTTTGTCAGACGGCAGTAGTCTTTGGCTCCCTCCTCTGGTGGAAAGACACTGACTGAAATGACGTTGACCTGAGAAGCAGTATCAGAAAATACTCATAATAACAAAGGAAATGTATCTCAAATTGCTGCATGTTTCATATGGAGATGAATGCAAATGAAACAAAACATACTGCAAGGTAGCATGACAGTACAAGGGTACTGTATATCAATTCAGTCAATAACTAAACTATGCTAATGATAGTAACTGAGAAACAATCACAAACATTTTCTATACAAAACGTAAGTCTGGAACACTTATTCTGAAACACTACTTTTTTTGTAGCTTTTGTTAAATGTTTTCTAAATGTTAGACACTTATTCAAATGACACAGCCGAGAATTGTTTGATTATGGTCAGTTTTTGTAGTTTCTTTTTCCAAGAATTTTGAAACCCAATAACTTAACAATCATCTCTTAGGAAATCTGTATTCACATCTTATCTTCATTAAGAATTATTGTTATTATTCAAATAAATCACTGTCTAATATTGTATATGACCGGTCGAAAAGATGAGAAGAAGGGGTGTGTGCACAGTGATGTCAGATGTCTGCTGATGGAAAAGAAGTCCTGACCTAGAACCTTGAGTCTAAACAAACTACATTTCTCAGACTGAATGATTTCAGGTGATGTGACGGAGGCCTGAGGGGAGTGTTTACGAGCGGCTCACACACACTCTCTTCATTATCTGTAAAGAAAATAACCGACAGAGGAGTCGTGCTGCTCGCTGATCTTTCCCCAGGTGAAGGCAGGATGGTCTGTGGCATTATAAGCTTTTAACCGCTGCTTCAGCTCCTCTGGCAGAGATGAATGGCTCGGTGAAAAAAATGTGTCATGAGGATGAGTCAGCCCACAGCGACTGTCTCTTAGTATTTGTGCAAACCAAGGCCCCGATGATTCATGGGCAAAATCACGACAGTTCCATTTAAGAGACAGAACCCTGAAAACTCTGCGTTTATTTTGGGATTAGACAGTGTTCAGGTTAAAAATAGGCTAAATACTTTGACGTTACCCTTCTTGCCAGAGTGCATGAGGTACAAAAAGAGTACAATTTCTAATAAAAAATGCAACATCAATGAGGAAATGGACAACGTTGTCGAGATTATGCAGGCGGAAGCAATAAAAGCAATAACCTATGCCGCTGCTGACAGCCTAATATTTTGTTCCTCTTTGAAATGCACTTAGAGCAGCCATTACTTTGAATATGGTGATGCAGGGACACTAGCCGCCAGCTTAAATCAAACTCAGAGCCCAGGTAATATAATAGCTGTGTTAGATTACATGATGGCCGGCACGTACGCAGCCCCAAATCCTCAGGGCTCAGGTGGCCTCACACAGACATCAACTGTCCCATTTTCATATTAATCTGCTTTTATGAAGTTTATGTTGCATCTATTCACTGGAGAAATGGTACACAACAAACACAAACACTCAAACATCACACCGGAATATCCAATTTCAGATCTGCACAACTAATGGAGCACGGCTAATAGGTTTACTTGTTTTCAGATTTTCTTGATTTATGAGAACGACAAATCTTCAACAAGGTTTCTCTCAACTCCTGAAGCGTGCAATCTCTGAAGTCAATCAAACCTGTTAAAATCACTGCTCATGACCCCCTCAGACCCCAGTCAGGCTCTCATTCAGGGTGGAGATGTGGTCGATCACGCTGAGCTGCCTCTGGCCGCGGCGGGCTTGTATTTGCCGCTGGTGCAGCAGGAACAGGCGTTTGGCTGCGGCCCGGTACTTCCGGGACATGAGGTTGTAGACGACGGGGTTGATGGAGGCGCTGAGGTAGCACAGCACCATGGAGGCCATGTTGAAGTTCTGGCTCAACGTGGCCGTCTCGTGGTCGTCCGCTTGGGCAAACAGGTTCCTGCCAATGTGATAGGGCAGCCAGCAGATGATGAAGGCCAGCACCACTACCACTGAGGGGGAATAAAGTTAGGAGAGGGAAATTAGTTTAAAGGAATAGTTTGACTTTTTGTGAAAAACTCTAAGATGAACAGCTATTCTTGCTTTGTCAGAAGTTTAAATAAAAATAAAAAACAGAATATGCAGCTACTAAAGTTTGAATTAGACAATACAAAAATGAAATTCAAGCAAATACAATACCACATGTTTTCTTATTGCCCATAAAGCCAAATGTAGAGCTTTAAATGTGATAGGATCAATACACACTCATCTTACATGAGGAATAAACAATATTATAGCATCTCTCACAGATTATAATGTATTCTGGATTTGTTAATAATAATAAATTCATAAAAAAATGTGTCTCGATCTTTGAGCACAGTATATGATTTATGTTCTATGGCCACCCTTGACTTTATTAATGACCAGCGGCAATAAACATCAAAGGAACTTATCTTTAAACCCACACACACACACACACACACACACACACACACACACACACACACACACACACACACACACACACACACACACACACACACACACACACACACACACAACACACCCACACACACACACCACACACACACACACCACATCCTCCCTCGCTCCTTTAAGTGATGCTCTCCTGCTAATCCCTGACTCACTGGTATTGGTTTAGAAGTCCCTGCAAATAAAATGGCCATCAATTTGTCTAATGGAGCCAGTCATATCTGGAAGGATGATAAAAGTTCATTAAATAATTAAAAGAGAGGTTTGTCTGGCCTCCACAAGACTAATTATTTGTGAATAAACAGAATCCATTAATCGAAGACCTACATCATGGACTCGCAGAGTGAACAGATGATCATTGAGTGACTCCTGGGATGTGTGACGCCAGCGTAATACAAAAGGAGCCCAGGAGTATGGGAGCATTTACATTTCCATTATGGTTGATTTATGAAGACCTCTGATGACAATCCAATTTGGGATTCAACAAATGTGGACACAAATGGCAGCAAGTAGGACAACATGGGCTCTGTGCAGCGTGTGCTCAGCTAATGAACTGCCTTTATATCCTAATGGATACATCATGATTCAATATTTGGTTAATTCAGATTGGACTGGCCATGGTACTTTACTATCAAACAGGGTTTCCTGCGCAATAAGCCAGAGCTGCGTATTAAGCCAATCAGCATGTGCAGAGCATGTATAGCCTCAGACAAAACAGAATTATTATCAAGCTTGCAATTCTCAAACCTGCCGGATAAAAGCAACACAATTCCCTGTGAAAATAATACAAAGAAAAGCTGGAATTAGGTTTAATTTAGTACAAATCAATATATATTATAACTAGTTTAATTTGCTAAAGCAAACACAATAGAGGCGCTGCAGTAAACAAGATATTCTTGATTCTCCGTCAGCCTATTATATTGCAACAGCAACAATGAAAGTTAGATTGTATAAAAGAGATGGATTTGTGCTTTAGGCTTTTGCTACAAATAACGTTCCTGGTAATGAAATTCAGAGAAAGGTTTTTGAAAGTATAGGAAAGAAGTATAAACCCACTGCTCCTCCTACTAGGATGGGTTAAATGCAGAGGTCAAATGTCACTGTGTGCGCTGTGTGCATGTATGTGTGACCATTAAAGAGGGTTTCATCCTCCAATTCTATCTATCTATCTATACATCTGTCTGCACTCACCCAGGATCTTGACTGTTTGCCTGTGAGACCGCTCTCGGGCCAAAGCGCAGGGGCCTTGCAGGTCCATTTTGCTTTTCCACAACTTGCATCCGATGGAGCCATAGAGGAAGATGAGGCAGAGCATGGGGCAGAAAAAGTAGATGGTGGACACCCAGAGCATGATGTGCAGCTGCCCGGAACTGATGGCGTAGTTGCTGTGCTTGCACTGCCCTGTGTTGTAGTCCGGGTGTGTGTCGTTGTCATACTCCACCCCAACGAGGAAGAGCGTTGGAGCGGCAGACACCAGGGCAAAGACCCACAGGGCGAAGATGATGTACTGGACCCTGCGTCGGGTCACCAACACCTTGCTCCTGAGGGGGAAGCTGATGGCCAGGTAGCGCTCGATGCTCAGGGCCGTGATGTGCAGGATGGTGGCCGAGGTGCAGCCTTCGAAGATGTAGTGATAGAAGCGGCACACCACCTCCCCGAAAAGCCAGGGCACGTACTTCCACAGGCGGTAAAGGTCAAAGGGCAGGCAGAGGAAGATGATGAGGTCGGACACCGCCATGCTGGACAGGTAGAGGTTGGTGGTGGTCTTCATGTCCTTGAAGTGCTGGATGATGAGGATGGTCATGGTGTTGCCGGTCACCCCGATGATGAAGATGAGGATGCAGATGACGGTGACAGGGATGAGGGTGGAGGTGTCGAAGAGGGAGCCCTTGTAGTGATGGTTGTCTGTGTTCAACTGGTCCATGGCCTCTGCTCCCCCCGCATTAAGGTCCACCTGGGGTCTGGTCCAGGGCATGCCCACTGTCACTGAGTGTTGGCACAGGAAAGGGGGGAATCAAGACTTAAACAAGGAGAGAGAAATGAAACCATTAAAGGACTAAACTGGGGTTTCTTTTAAACGTCACTATATTTAGACATTTCTCCTGTCAGGGTTTATCGTTTTTTGTAGTTTTGTATTAATTTCACCTGGATTCATCTTCTTATTTATAGAACATGCATTTTCAAGCAGTTGGACTACCTACGTTGTAAATGTATTATCTTTTCAATTTACACACTACATCTATTGCGTGTCTGTCCATCTTTGGAGAGGGATCTGTTGCTTAAATGGTTTCTTAAATGGGTTTCTTAAATGTTTCCCCTATTAACTGTGGGGTTTCTTTGCAAGTGTTTCCTTGTCTGATGTTGGGGTCCAAGAACAGAAGGTGTTGCCTTCCTATTCTGTCCACAGAGACAAATGTAAAATGTGTGATATTGGGCTATATAAATAAACGTTGATTGATTGAGACCGATGATCATAAGGTCTGCCTTCTTTTCATTTTGATAGAATTGATCATTTAAACATGAATTTAAATAATCGCACCGCATTTCCTTCTAGCAAAAGTGTCACACAATTGACTACAGAACTCAAATGCTAGAACTTTTGAATGGAAACTGGTAGATGGCTTTTTTCTTTAAAAGAATATTAAATACAACAACAATATAAAGTAAAAGCAGGTTGTAGTAGAATGAATAAAACATGCATTTGATGCTCCTTTAACTTTTATACCTAAAAGTAGAAACAACATCCTTGTGTGAAATAAATAATGGCTGTTGACTTTACCTGTGAAACTCAGCTGGATCTCCTAAAAACGTTTTCTTGGTCTCTGTTGCGTTGCTGTGTGTCGATGGCGAGCGGCAGCAGGGTCTCATGAAGTGGCAGAGCCGGTCCCTGACGCTCAATGACCAGGAGAGCTCTGCTGAGAGATGAATAAGGGAGCACCTCCTCCACACCACCACCCTGAGGAGTGTGTGTGTGTGTGTGTGTGTGTGTGTGTGTGTGTGTGTGTGTGTGTGTGTGTGTGTGTGTGTGTGTGTGTGTGTGTGTGTGTGTGTGTGTGTGTGTGTGTGTGTGTGTGTGTCTAAGTAATCAAATGATGATGAGACGGATGATGGTAAAAGGCATATGATGATACGATTGGAGGGACCCCCTTCCATCACTGCTGCTCCTCTGGGAGAATAAATATAGATTAAGTACCATGCTCATTTGAATTGAGTGTAAATACATGAGAAAAACACATATGAGGGATGTAGGTTCATTAATTGATGCATCAATCACTGAAATCCGAGCGTGTTTGCTGAGCTGTCTGGGAGAAGTCACTGAAAAATGAGTCCTGTGTTTGCCTAATTGTCCACTTGCCCCATCCGTCACTCTTAGCTTCATCACTCCACACTCCCAATGGCACTTCTCGTCTTCGTCACTCTCACCTTACCTACCAGGCTTGTTATAATAAACTCAGTTTCATCTATGCTGGTTTAACAGGAATGTCATCTTTAAAGAATGTCCATAAAGTTTAGTTGGCGGTGAGAGCGAGTCTGAAAAGGTCAAAAGTTGTGTGAGTTCTTCCACCTGGTTTTCTGTTTAAGAATAGAAGATTTAATTCAGTATGACCTCCGGTAACACTGTTCTTCACTTTATATCCGACTAATCCACAAATTCTGAGGTTTTCAGTCTGATTTGGATGAAGAGAAAGTGTCGCAAGCCCTGCAGATTAATATGAGAAGAATCATTTATGACTGTTTGTACATTTTCTTCAAATAATTGCATTCCCTATCTAGTGCTCCAGGCTGTGAACATACCACTTTCAGATTTTCTCTCCCTGATTTACAGGTTTTCCGGCTGTGTCCAAAGAAGCATTAGTCACTAAAGCCTGGAGGACCGTGCTCTGTTGGTTCAGAGCCACCATATCCATTAGGTCTAAATGAACCTTTGTAAGCAGAGTCACACTGACACCGGCTGTATCTGTGTGTTTACACTGAGCTGATCCCCAGCCGGATGCACCGCTCGGACCTGAGGGGCAGCAGGAATGTCCCCCCCTCTTTCAGTGTTTACTCCTGTCAAAGAAACACCACAGGGAAAGCTTGTTTGTCCCCTTTTTAAGAAATGGGTGACCAGTGTGTCTCTCAACAAGAACCAATAGCCGCGTTCACACCGGAGTACTTTTCCCCGTACTTTTCGCGTTTAGTTCCGTTAGTACCCCTTATGTCGCGTTCACACCAAAAAGAGTACTTAATCTCGGGAACTTTTACCCCCATTTTTAGTGCCTGCTGAGAGATCGTACTTTCCTTGGGGAAAAAAGTGCCCCAGTTCTGATTGGCTGGGCGAATTGCAAACCGCGCCCCGTAAAACTCTGAAATGTTTTGCAGAGCCGCCATTTTATTTGCTCGCTACAAAAACCCAGCGCACCAACGGAGAGTAGTTTGTTTTGAAAGCAGTTATGGCAAGCATCAATAAATAATCGAAGCGGTGGAGTGATGAGGAGGTGTCGGCGCTTCTGGAAATCTACGCCGAGGATGGTACGAGCGCTTGGATGCTCTGCTAGGCCACAGACCTTTTCTCCGGGACAGCATCGACCTTCGATTCGGGCACGATGGTGTGGGAGGCCGCTCAAACGGCGGATTCAGTTGCCAACGATGACGACCACGACGAAGGTAAAATCAACTACATGCACTGGTGTTTTAATCTGCACAATAATGGTCTCAGATGTACTTTTATTTGCTCAGTAGATCAAGCTAGCCATGCTAGGCTGAACTGGCTAACACCGCCCCCCCGAGCTGGCTAATAACATCTAGCTAGCTAGATATTCTCGGCCGCTATGAAAACGTTTTGACTTGTGAATAACTGTGCAGTGTTTCTGTAATTTGCTTCACTAACTCATGGCACTAATCGTGTGTTTCAGGCGAGGCTGGACAACTCTCAGGATTGTAAACAAGCGAGCTTTCCCTTCCAGATCACAGCGCTTGCACGTCCCCCTTACCAGCAACCAAACGCAAAGGTACACACACTGTAACTTGGTCTTGAAAGAACGTTACGTATCGAACTGATGTTCACAATCACGTTTATTTCCTTCTTGGTACAATTATGAAACAGCGTGAAAACGTATTCGCCTAGACCGGCGTTTACAAATGTTCGCGCCGTTTTTACTCTCTCACAAACATTGTAAACATCCGGGCTTGCCTCAACAACATTAAACAAAGTTCAAGCATACATGAAGCACTCTTCAAAAATACAAAACAATAAATAAGGGCACTTTGAGCGGCAGCTACACACACACACACACTCAGTGTGTGTGTGTATATATATATATATATATATATATATATTTATTTTATGCTATTTGATCCTATATTATCTTCTACTATACACCTCCATTGTGTACACTGTCTTGTCCCGGCCTGCACCCTGTCCAATATTGACTAGTAAACACATTCCTAGTATGTTGTAAAACTACATGGCGACTAAACAGATCTTGTATCTTGCTTATTTTCCCTCTTAGCAAAGCGGGCACGGGATGTGAATTTCTTTGACACCGTCGAGGCGTTGGAGGACCGGCGTGCCGTGGTGAAAGAGTCGATGCACGGGGATCAGATGGTGCTGTTAACCAAGGCCCAGGAAACGGGAGGACAAGATGCTCACGATGATGGAGCGCCAGGCTGAAGTGTTGAAGCGGCAGATGGAGCACCAGGATGAAGTGTCGGTGCAGGATGAGCGACAAACCACTTTTCAGAATGGGTTTCTGGAAGTGCTTTCCCAGCTAGTGAAAGCCAACAGGTCTTCCTCCCTATAGTTGCCACTGTTAACAATGTCTGCTGCTGAGCCTATCCCTACACCTGGGACAGTTCATTTTGTATTGTTTTTATTAATACTGACACACAACTTTGCACTAAGGTGTGTATGCTGCTGAGCCTATCCCTACACCTGGGACAGTTTATTTTATATTATTGTTATTACTGTTATTATATAGTCTTGATACAACTGACACTTTATTTTATATTGATAATGTTAACTTACATGTACAACGTACACATTTTATTTACATTAAAAATGTGAACTTCTATTTACTGTTATGTTTTGAGAGTGCAATAAAGAGAACCTACATGGCGATTAAACAGATCCTGTATCTTGCTTATTTCTCCTGACACTTTATCTTTAGTGACCTATGTAGCATCCTATACATCACATGTAAGTGATTATTCTGATACCATCATGTTTCATCGGTTATAAACTGGCGAAGCTTTATTTGTCATTTATTTATCATCAATGTTGCAACCTTGTGGGGGAATGGCAGGGGCACATACACAAATATGATAATTTATATAATTTTAAATATTATTTGACCTAAAACTAAATGTTTTTATGATTATCCTGAGGAGGACATGGGGATTTGCAAACTTTTAATTCCCCCCCCCCATTTTACACAACACAAAATGGAGTCCACTATGGGCCGAAACTGTAAATGTAGGTTTCCATAGTGTTTATGGCAGACGGATGCAGTGGGTCTCAGGAAGATATATAATAAATAATAAAGGTGGGTTTGCTGCTGAGCCTATTTACTGTGCATACAACACACCTGGCACAGTTTATTGTTATTATATTGCCACACTGTACACTATTGTAATGTTGCCTGTCTTGACTGGAAAATAAAAGAGAGAAACAAAAGCACTGTACAAAAGATCAGCTTTATTGTCAAAATGTTTACAATGTACAATTTACACGCTGTTCAGATGCCTCATAAGGGCTGTGCGCGTGTCTTGCCCCCCAGCCTCGGCAATGGCTGGCCCATCAAGCTGGGTCGCCGGTAAGGCAGTCCATTCGTCCCTGTACTCATCATTACTTTCACAAAGGTTATGTAATATGCAACATGCTGCCACCTGGATTTTGATCTTGTCCATCTTGCAGTTGTTTCTTTTCATCAAGCACCGCCACCTGCCCTTCAGTCAGCGTTCTCCACCACCACTCGTGCTCGGCTTGTTTTGTTA